TTTTAATTAAAGAAAAAAGGTAAAATCATCTCTGTAAAATCTGTATGGAAAATAACTTTACAGGGTAATCAAACTTAAAGAGCTCAGAGGACTCCCCTCTAGTCTCAGGTTCAAAGTACAGCAAACAGAGATAAACACTCTAGTAAAAGGTACATTTACAAGTTGAGAAAACAAAGATAAACTAACACGCCTTGCCTGGCTGTTTACTTACAAGTTTGAAATATGAGAGACTTGTTTAGAAAGATGTGGAGAACCTGGATTGATGTCTGGTCCCTCTCAGTCCCAAGAGCGAACAACAACCAAAACAAAGAGCACAAACAAAAGCCTTCCCCCCACCCCAAGATTTGAAAGTATCTTGTCCCCTTATTGGTCCGCCAGGTTACCCGAGGTAAAAGGATTTTGGAGTCTCTGGCCAGGAGGGATTTTATAGTACTGTACACTGGAGAGCTGTTACCCTTCCCTTTATAGTTATGACACTCCCATTCTTCTCCCTTCAACAAAAATACATTTTGGCATGCTCAGTGCATGGAAGAAAGCTAGGACATGTGGTGTGGATTTTAACCAGGCTGCAACTTTCTTAGTCAAATTACATCTAGGGTTCCTGTTGGGGGACAGCCCAGTGCAGTCGCGCACACCCCATTGATCCTCTGCCAATTCTTATGGGATTTTACTTCAAAGGGAACAAATCATCACACTGGGGTGGGAGGTTCTCAGGGTGCCTACACTTGCCTGCTAGCATCCCTCCCCCTTTCAGGAGTTGAGGTGAGCAGGGACCTCAACCCCCAGCCAGCACTGCCATCAAGCGCATTGGTGGGGCAGTACCTTCCGGGGTAGTGCCCCGGCCCCTGGTTCACCTTGTTTCCAGGGGATTAGACAGTATGCCCCGGTCTCATAAGAAGATGCCCTCGGGATGGCCACTATATTGTCTTTTTGGATCTGGAGCATAAATCAGTGAGTTTGTGCACCGGGCACCTGACAGATGTTGCGATAACTAAATGACTCTCATGTAAGTCCAAATTGTGACCTCTGGGAGGGGGAGAATTCTAGCCCTCCGGTTGCCCAATCTCCAACCTCTAGGTTGTGCTGTGAGGAATGCAGAAAAACGCAACCAATCTGGTGGCATGGGAAAAATGCCTTCCTAGTCCCAAAACGGCAACTAGCACAGCTGACAGTGACTGAGATGAGGCAGGGAGGGTGAGTTGACTGCTGGAAACCAGAAAATGGCTCTGAGCACATGGCTCCAAATCATGGGTCAAATCTCATGAGACCTCAAACCTACCAAGAAGCCTTATGGGGACTGGAAATCTTGTGGCAACCTGCCCATCCTGTGCTTTTACCACCAAATACATCCCTTACTATCCTTGGGGTGCTCTTCTGTAAAATGATTAAGTATAGGTAGTTTGGACAAAGATTCTTCTTCCTCTCCGAAATCTGGAGGCTGACCCTGCGTATAGAAGGGTGATCATGAGTTGATGATGTCCGTGGGAATGGGGAGCAGCAAACTATTTTCTCATGCACACTGAAAAATGCTAGCCCCAGCTCTGGCTGCTGCTGCCCGTGATGTTACTTGTTCTGTGGATAAACAGAAGATTGTTTTCCATGGCTGTCAGTACAGCTCCTTTCACAGCTACTAAATTCATCTTTAAAAAAAAAATTGGAGGCCAAGGCTTCATGAGGTGAAGAGTGTAAAAAACAAGTTGCCTATATTGATGTAGGGCTGGATAATGACCTATTTATGTTGGAAATGAAAGCTTTGATGTTTCTGAACTTGTTTCAGTTGTCTTTTTCATACAATGAACTTCTCAACTTTCTTTTCAATAACCACAGCAAGACCAGCTTTATACTTGGGCTGCAGTTAGCCAACCCACACATTCATCGGATTACATCGAAGGGAGGTTTCCAAGGAGAATTCCATCCGTGTGGCCACCACCCAAGCCTCCTGATGAGGAACAAAAACTCAAACATATGGAAGCAGGTATGGATGGCTTGGAGACACAAACAGGATCCAACACTTCCCATTGATTTCAGAGGGAGCTGTTGTTTGCTCAGCATTATTGAAAACCAGAGCCCTTATTTAGGTGCCTAAATATGGACTTTGGATCCTAACGTCAATACCTGTTTTTAAAGAACTTTGCATAAAGGTAGAAGTATTGTTAACTTGCATGAATTTGACTGAAATATTTTGTGAACGTATGTATTGATTTGTTAAACACCAAGGTGTACACTGACTATGCTCAAGTTTCAGAGGGGTAGCCGTGTGAGTCTGAATCTGTAAAAGGCCACAGGACCCTCTGTTACTGACTATGCTGTACATACAGCAAACAATAGTGCACTTTGCCATGCTTTGTCCTTTGTTCTTCTGCAGTTTACAGCTCCTCATAGCAATGATGTCGGGCAATCTTCCTTTCTGATGGCTATGGACTCCCTTTGAACCTCAGTGCTATTTTTAGGTTATTACAGTGGCATAAGGCACATGCTGTCCCTCATATGTGCTCAGCACAACCCCTGTGTTAGCAAAGGGAACAAGCAAATGGATATAAGAAACAAACGTGGGGGGCTTGTTTTAGTTTGGTGAATCTCAGAAGTTGTTGAGTTACTTCACCAGTCTGTTTACTTTTTTATTATCTTGTCTGAGTGAATTCATTATTCTTTCTAATTGTCTAAAAGCATTTGTTTAAGTTATCATTAAATGAATAATGAACAATCTCTTGTTTTGTAGGCAAGAAAAAAACTAGATTACCACTGAAAAGAATTTAAAGTCTGCTTTTGGTTAGTAGTCTTGATGACAGGCAAATATCAGAGGTTCAGGGAGGCTTAGTTTTGAATTAGCATCCAATAGCTCTCTATAGTTTGAGACTACATTCATCCCTATGGCCCTGACTATTTACAACTCTTCCTTTTCCCACCACTCCTTTGGCCTTTCCATGGAAAATAAGGCATTTGCCATTATTTCAACAGATTTCCTAGCACTGCTGCTAAGCTCTGGGTGGGGTTGATTTCAAACTTTCCTCACTCTGGGCCTTCCAAGAATGGTCTGAGAATTAGGCTGTGTCTACACTAGGAGTGTTTTGCTAGTACAGGAATATCTGTATATGCTACTGGCAAAGCACTTCTAGTGTGGATGTAGCTTATACTGGAAAAACTATATTTTTTGCAGACACAATGTATTCCATCCCTGCTCCGCCCTGAGTAAAATAAGCTACATCAGCAAAAATACAGTTTTGCCAGTATAACTGCATCTACACCAGGGGCTTTTGCCAGTACTGGTTTGTTAGTCAAGAATCACACCTCATCACATCCCTGACTGGCATAGCTGTGGTACCAGGAGTGTGTAGTGTTGATATGGCATGAAGTTTTGTGTGTTGGAGTGTTAGAGACTAGAAAATAGTGGTGCCAGGGACTGTTCTAATTATAGGCAAGCTAGGCAATTGCCTAAGGTGACAGGGCCAAACCTCAGAGGTGCTGAGTCCCCGTTGGGTCAGGTTGAAATGACATTCACTCAGTTTCGGCTTAGCCACCCCCATCATGACAGAGGTATGGCTGGACCAAACCTGAGTGAGTGACCTGGCACTTGCCTCCACCACTTCTGTCATGACCGCCACATCTCCCCAGAAAGTCCCCCTCGGGGAGTGCACCCCCTGGTTGAGCACCTCTGTTCTATGTAGTAGTAAGAGGGGGAGGCACTGAAGATGTGCCTATGGTGGCAGATTGTCTTGAGGGGCCACTGGGTAGTGCTGAGACCTCAGCAAAGGTGCTGCTAGACCTGGTTCCTGAACTCAGTTCCTGTAAGGGTCAGAACCTTGTGCCTTTTGACACAAATGGAGATTTGGGGTGTGTGTGTGTGTGTGTGTGTGTGTGTGTGTGACTGACTGACCTGACTGTGTCCAAAGCCTTTACCTAAAAGGATTTGGAGTTTAAAAGCAAAAGATCTGAAGTTACAATATGAACATTGCATTGTCCCTTAATTTACTTCCAAAATGTCCACTGCAGTATAAGCAATCTAGTGATATAGTTTACAAGTAAACAAAACCTGCCTTTCTGACATAGCCAAAACTTTGAAGCCTTCAGTATCTACATTTTTGCTTTACTAATCCAGATTATATATGTTCTCACAAAAATAGTCAGCAATAATTCTCTTAATTTCAGTTGCTTAAAAAGAAGTCCCCCCCCCCCACTATATAGCATTTCATTTATTGAGCTTTACATTTTATTTCATTTAAATTGCTGTAACAAGAACAAGTTCACAACTCTGGTAGACATGGTAACTGAGAATTATCAGAACTAAATATTATACTGGTTATCCAAGGAAAAACAGTGAGTTTGGTTAAATCAGAATACTTAGAAGTATAAGAATTTTGAAGATCGGTTAATTTGGAATGCCTGCAAAAAAGAACAAAAAGCAGTTTAGCTTAATTTAAGAATACTGCTTGCTTAGATACTGTATTTTTTTCTCTTCCTTTTTGAAAATTCTGTTTGTTTGCCTAAAAAAAAATTAATTTAATTAATTTGCTTCTGCTATTGCTCCTACCCATAGATTCTCATCTCCCTCCTCCCCCACCCCGACTTTTTTTTGGGGTGGGGGAGAGAAGTTTATTCAAACTGTCAGTGTCTTTTAAAAGGGGTTTAAACATTTCTGTCTTAAGGGCTTTAATTTGTTTGCCAATAAGAAAAATATGAAGGGAATTTGGTTATTGTAATTAATGTCCAATGGAAGTAATTTTCTGCAAATAAAAGGTAACTTTTTTTTTACATGCCTACTTGTAGAGGACAGTGAAGGTGAGTAATGTTAAGTGAATAATGAAGTCTTAAAAATGAGTCTACCTGAGATTTGTGCCAAAATTGCATATATGAGGTGCATGTGACTTCTGAAGTCAGAGAGGGAGCACATTCTTAAATGCTGATCTTAAAATCCAAGAGAAGAGGCCTGCAGCTTGCTTTGAAAGTCAGATGACTTGGACTTTCTCAGACCAATGGGAGAAGCTATTGAGAATGTCCTGACTCCAGAAAACCTAAGAACATTAACCTTAGCCCATTAGGGCAGGTCTACACTGCAATTAAAAACCCACACTGGCCTGTGCCAGCAGACTCAGGCTTGCGGGGCTCAGGCTAAGGGGTGAGTCCTAGAGCCTGGGTTCCAGCCTTAGCCTGAACATCTACACCCCAATTAAACAGGCCTTTAGCCTGAGCCCAAATCAGCTGGCACAGTCCAGCAGCAGCAGTCTAATTGCAATGTAGACATACTCCTAGATAACAGGGTAGTGCATAGGTTAAGGACCAGCCAGAATCCAAGTGCTGTTGATAACTTATCAGAAAAATGTTTTGTGGTTGAAAACTCTTATGCTACATACATGGACTGAAATTCAGTGTGTGCCATTGGTAAGTGCTGGTACTATGCATATTTTTAAAAATATAGAAAACAAAGAGAAATATAAAACCACAGAGAATTAGCACCTCAGCAGGATTTATAGCATCACATTATGAGATTGTTTAAAAAATTTGAAAGAATGGTGGCTAATGCAATGCAAATTATAAATAAAACTCTAGATCAATTTAAGGAAAAATGAATAGGAGAGTCAGGAAATATATGCTTACTCCCTTTGTGTTTGGAAACCCCAGAAGAAAAGATCAATACCTTTCTAATGTTTAGAATTTATTTTTTAAAAGTGCCTCTATCATTTTAATGTTGGATGGTGGTAACATCTGCATCCTAGGAAAATGGTCACAATAGTTTTCAAGAGCAGATGAAAAAGGGCATTTCTGGTCATCAAAGCCACCCTAGGCCAAGCAATGATTTACAAATATCCCTACTTTGCAAACTTCATTGCAGAAGCATGGTCAAACATGGTTAATAATGGGGCAGACTGAATCCTTGGTACTTCCCTACCCCCAACCAAGTAGTAACATCATCTTCATCTAATCTGGATCACTACTTAACCAGGCACAGGGGAAATGCACAGATCTAACTGATGAAAGAGATTCAAAACTGTGCTTTATAAGCATAACATTGGATCTTCAGCACATGCTGTCTCATTATCTCCCATGGCAGCCTCAGGAGGTATGACAGAAGAAAATGTTATGAAACATCATGAGAATGCAAGAGAGAGCCCTTGGGGTGGATGAATAGTTACCAAATACCATCTTCTGGGATCTCTTTTAAGATCAAAGAGTAGAACCTGGTCTGCCAGGGGCTGTAGTTCAGTCAACAAAACCCCATGGTCACTGTTATCAAAGGCTGCAGATAGCTCTAAAAATTACAGGTGGCCATGCTTATTTTCTCCATCACTAGAAGGAGATCAGCCAACAACATAACCCCTTGTGGGCAAAGATCAGATTCCATGCTGATTATTTTAGCCTGTACCATATTAAAATCTGAAAGTAGATTCAAAGGCCTCAAGGAAGTCTGAAAATTCCAGGTTTTCCTGGAGTTCCTTTGCCATCACCTCCTAAATGAGCTTTCACAAAAAACAAAACAAAAACACAAAACCAAAACCAACCAAACAAAAAACGAATAGGGAGGACTATATTATATAAAGAGATTGTCAAGAGAGTTTTTTGAGCAAAGGCCTGACAGCTGCTTGTTCTAGAGATACTGGCACTCTGCCCTCTGGCATTAACAATTTCTACCAAAAAGAGGCAATGCCTTTCTGTGTTTGTTTGTTTGTTTTCCCTAGTCATTATAGACGTGTGTTCAAGTCACCGTTAGTGTCCTAAAGTCCCTCCAGTGCTCCTTCAATGAGTGGAGCTGGCTAAAAGTCAATTTGGCATATGGCATTTGTTTCTTCCAGTCCCAGACATGTACTGATTTATATGGTGAACCCAGTCACTGATTGGAGTGATATTATACACACTCAAATTGTCCGAGTGAGAGACATTTCACGGTAGCTTAGATTAACCCCATTTTGCACCACAGCAGTTCCATTACAATTAAGATGCTATTGTGGATAAGAACGCCATGGCTGTTGAAGGGAAAGAAGCTTCAGATTTTAAGTATTCACCTGGTAGCCTTGAAACGTGGCTTGAAACCACCACTGGTACTGTAGCTTGTGAATTGTCATGATGGTCTTTGGGAAGAGAATGTCTAGGAGCTAGTCATGATCGTCATAGCCCACAGGTGGGCTCACTGTACAGTGCTGCTCCTGAGAGATGTCAAAATTATTTGTTTCCTCCATTTTCTCTGCACAGATCAAAGAAATAGTTCGGTCGCCTTGCTGGGAGCAAGGTGGAACCTGACTGACTAAATTGTTTAGTATACTTTGACTATCCATAGCACCATGTCACAATATTTTACAGATGTAAATGAACGAACCCTGACCAAGTAGGCAGATATTATATCATGATGGGAAACTGAGGTGGTTGTACAGGGAGGTTGCTTAAGGTCAAACATGAAGTCTGGAAAGTGGAGAATGCAAGGCAGAGCTTTTGACTCACAATCCTGTACTTTAACCACAAAACCATCTCTCATCAACAGTTAAATAAAAATAGAAAATCTTCATTATTCTCTCTAAAGATTCAGCAAATTGCTTTCAAGTACAGTATGTGCACTGGTTGTTGCATGTATCCATCCTTGCCAGCACAATCTGTAATTTCTTTTATCCAGCATGCAATCAAATACTGCGCTGTATAAACAAAGCTGGAATGTACAGTATGTGTTTGACTGAAACAAATATTCCCAGAATCAAGGTTTCCATTTAACTTTTTTGACTTGACCAACAGTCACTATTTTAACTTTGACTTAAACGTTTTTATTAAAAGGCAGCTTTTGAATAGCTAATGATGGTAGAGCAATGATTACCCTGTCTTTAAAATAAGCAAAAGAATCTAGTTCTTGCTAGCATAATATTTTAATGTCCATATTACATTGAAACAAAATGACTCTTTGCTTTAAAGGCACAGATTAGCAAAGCAGAGCTCGTAATTGTTCCCATTGGGTTTTCTCCTGATTCTTAGTGCAGAAACCACGACAGTGACTACTTCTAGATGTGAAAACTGATTACTGCTTTAACTTTTCAGTTTAGCAAGTAATACATGGCATTATACTTCTGAAACTTTTTTTTTCTTTCTTCAAATTCCCTACAGTGGTGTTGGATGGTAAATTAATTCTGGGATGGGAGGACAGATTCTTTGTCCAGAGGGAACTCAATCCAATCCGCAATGCTGATCACAATGTTTCTTGCTGGCCTTAGAATTGATGAATCTGCACCTGTGTGACTTTTCCTCAGATGAACAATACCCAGTGCACATTATGGGGAGAATCCTGGGTGTGGATGTCCCCCTGGTTCTGTGCAGCTCAGGTCAACCACTTTCACAGTACTGTTCTCTCCCCTGTACAAGACTCAGCAGAGCCACTAGGGATGGGGAAAGCTGGGGACAGGGATGGAGTGAGGGTTCCATTATATTTCTCTCCACTGTCACAAGCCCCGTGGTAAAAATTTAATGTAGTATCAGGCTGCATTAACCTTTAACTTTCCCATGCTGCCCCAATACTTAGGACCCACTTTTTAAAAGGGGGGTTCCAAGATGATATTGTATGAAGGAAGCCTGAAAGTAAGAGAGTGTGTGTGTGTGTGTGTGTGTGAGAAGAGTTTTGGGGTGGGGTGTTGGGAGGCATGGAGCAGAGGTCACCAAAAAACACAAGTTATTTGAAAAAATCAACAAAGAGTCCTGTGGCGCCTTAAAGACTAACAGATGTATTGGAGCATAA